CACTTCCCAAGCGGCGCACTGTAGCAGTGCGCCACCGGGCCGGCTGTCTAAAGCTTCTTAAACCACTGTATTATATATTTCATCAACATTTCCTGCCAAAATTCTAACCTGCTGGAAATCTTAGGCACACACTGTCAGAGCCGGGTGCTCCTCTGTCCTCAGTGCACGTTGTAACACCCGTCCCAGTCACAGGGGCAGCCTGGAGGGCCGAGGGCACTGAAGCCTACAGCCTCTTTCAAAGCTGAGAGCACGGGGCGAGGGGCCCGCCTCTGCCTCGTGTTGGTGCACGCTCTCCGACCACCGCAACGCAGGGCATGAGCCTCACTGGCGGGGCCTGGCACTGGCGCCTGCCCAGCTCCTCATTCTGAGCCCCTCTGTCCCCTGTGTTGGAAAGGCGAGTGCCACAGGTGTGTGGGGGATGAGGACATGGTTTCTGATGTGCATGAAGGCCCCGTGGTGATAGGGCTCTCTCTGTCCCAGCTTCCTCACCTCCAGCACAGCCTCCCCCGCGCCCGACGCACCCAACCCTGCCTGGGTCTCGGCGGCAGCGCTACACTTGATGATTCAGCAGGTCGGGAAGGAAAGCATTAGGAGACAGCTGGAGAAACTGGACTGCGAAAGAGAGCAGGCAAGCCTGACTTTTTTTTTAATCAAGCTTTTTTTTAATCAGTCTCTCTCTGGGTTTGCCTAATGAACTCTGCTTTTCCAAGGACAAACAAGAGGTCTGGAGTTCTTGTCGCTTTACTTGGAAGTAGAACTGTTACTGAGTTTATAGATTTTAGTAAGTCTTTGACTCTCAAGTTTATTGGTAAAAATAACACCTTACATTCCATTTTTGAAGTGCCTTTATTTGGCTTATTTTTACCCTCACTACAACCCGATGAAAAGCTGCCAGCTGTGGAGCGGCACACTGTGTCCATGTTGCCACAGCCTCGGGTCACATGCGATGGGCACCCCAGTGAGGCACATGGTGAGAACACGGAGCTGGAGCGCAGGGCATGAGGCAGGCGGGACTGTCTGCTGCTATGGCTGCCGTTCATCCCAGGCCAGGGACCACCCCGGACTCTGGGCTCAGGGCCCACTTGATTTGGGCCCCCTGCCTGCCCTAAGCGCACAAGTCCCCTCTCAGCTCAGGACATACACACTGACCTGGAGACTAGGAGAGCAATAGCAAAGCCAAGTGTTTTTGTGATTATAATACACAGATCCTACAAGGATTCTTCTAAGGTTGTTTTCAGGTGGTTTTAGTGACTCCAAGCCTTCAGGCCCACGTGCCAAGGGGACTCCTCCAGAGAGACCCTGCCCAGCCGGGCCCTGGGGTCAAGGGTTATCCTCAAGGATTTTACAGACTTCCGAAGGGAAGCCCTGCGGAGGGGCGGGCTGAGATGGGGCCGCCCACCACACAGGAAGCAGTTCCTGATTTCTCACTGCCGTCTCTTTTTCTGACTGTTTTAGCTGTGTTTGAAGGCAAGTATGCAGTGACCCAGTCAGCAATAACTTCCTCTTAATTACTAAAGCTCTCTCTTTAAAAGTGATGGGAAGTTTTTCTTTTCTGAGAAGATCCACGTAAAGGATTTATGCTCTAGACATGTGAAAGTTCCATTAAAGAGGAATGCGTGCATCGGTCTCACTCAGTATACAGGGAGCACAGGTAATTCTGTGATAAATGTGTGTTTATGTGCAGGTGCTGGTTTTCCTGTTTTTCTTTTCCTTGATGGGCCTGCTCTCCTCACATCTGACCCCAAATGTAAGTCAGACCTTGTCAGTTAAGTGCCCCCATTCCACCTCAGACCTCCTGAGTCAGGGTTTCTGGAGCAGCTCAGGAGATTGTTGCATTTGCTGAAGTGTGAGGACTCCCAGGCCACAGGCCTTTCTTCTGATGTCTTCAGAACTGGCTGCAGCAAGCCAGGGTGTGGGTGCCCAAGGGTCCCTGGCCTCTCCTTTCCCAGCATCTTCCATCCAGAGGCCCCAGTGTGACACCTATCTACAGGTTGTCACCAGTTTTAGGACAGAGCAACAAGGAAAAACCCCTTCTGTATTGAGGGTTGCATCCTTGTGCCCACGTGAGAGCAACAGCTTTTACAAGTCCAGCTGTGTCAGCCCTGCGGGATTGTCAGTCAGCTCAACACTTGGCTGCTGTCTCAGGGTTCGGGTTCTTCTGTGGGTCACAGGACACCGTTGACTCCCTGAAAACTACAGAAGTTTGTGCTGAGATCCTCACGTGTTTGGAGAAAAGGAAGATATCCTGGCTGGGGCTCTTTGAGTTGACAAAGACAGGTAAGAAGCCCATTTGAGATCCGACACGGAATGCTGGCTTGTTTCTGTCCGTGATGCGCAAATGTCAGCTGATGTGATGTGACAACCCGTGTGGTTCTTTTAGAAGCAGCTTTAAATGGTTAGATTGAGACCTCCCTGGGGCTCACTTTACAAACTCATTTGACGAGCTTATGATCTTACTAAGCTTATAAACTCCATTTTAGGGGACAAATTCAGTACAAACTTATTTAAAGCAACAAAAGAATTTATTGGAGCACAGTGTGCCACTAGTCTGGGGCAGCCAGATCCACAAGCCCATCATGGGGGTGGGAGTCTACCTGTCCAACCCCCCAGTCTCTGCCCTCCAGCGTCACCATAGCCAGCCATAGGCCTCCCAGACCACATGACAGCCCCTGATCCCTGAAGAGGAGCCCCCACCCTGATCTGGCGAGGTGTCCCAAGCTGAAAACCCTGCCCTTGCTGTTGCAGGTGCCGGGCTTGGGCAGCTTCTCCTCCGCATGGCCCCGGATCAGCACACCAGGTTGCTGCCATTTGCCTTCTACAGGTAACTGCATCTGCTGGGCTGGTCAGTGCCGAGCCTGTAGGGCCCTGCATGGTCAGGGAAGGGACCACCTTTCCCAGACCCCCGTCTTGGCACTGCTGTGGTCTTCCACCGGCTGGAGCAGATGTCCCTCGCACACTGCCTGTGCTTACCTTTTTGACATCTTACAGCCACTTGTCCTTCTCTATATCTAGCCTTCTCTCCTACTTCGATGAAGACACTGCTGTCAGGGAAGAGGCCTTCCTGCGTGTTGCTGTCAACATGTACCTGAAGCTGATCCAGCTCTTCGTGGCCGGGGAGACGTGTGCAGTCTCGGCTCTGACTGGCAGGAGTCCGGAGCTCCAGGGCCAGGCAGGTGCAGGGACTGGTCCCATCTCCAGGCGAGCTCTCCTCAGCCTGAAGCTCCTCCTGCTGGGTGGACCTTCTGGCACAGTTTGCAGGTTGTGGGGCACACTAGTCCTGTTTCAGTATGCCCTCTGACCCATGACCCTTACCTGTCTTCTCTCTAGGGCAATCCTGTAGAACTGATAACAAAAGCTCGCCTTTTTCTGCTGCAGTTAATACCTCGGTGCCCAAAAAACAGCTTCTCAAACATGGCAGAGGTAATACCAAGATGTTGACCTTGGGGCTTGTTTTTAACATCTTAGGTAAAGTGAGAATTCACAGCATCCTGACATTTGGGATTGCAGCTGTCGTGGCCACAAAACCAGTGGGCTGGCCCCCCTCCTTGTGCCCTTGCAGCTAACACAGGCTGCAGGCACGGTGGACTCAGGTGATTTGTCCTGAGTGGCCGTGGAGCTTAGTACAAGTGTCTCCTCACAGGTCCTGGCTGATTGTGGAGACAGTGACCCAGAACTGAGTGCTGCTCTCCTGAGCAGGCAGCAGGACGTGCCTGACGCTGACATGTACCAGGAACCCCGTCTCTTCTGACTGACCCGTCACAGCGCACCAGCCTTGCTCTTTTGTAAATAATTTATTATGAGCATAACGCGGAGATCCTGTTGTACTAAAAAGTGGATTACAGATCTCCTTGATCGCTTTAGCAGGGAAAAGGAATCGATTACTTATAATCTGTGTCTGGCCCCAAGTTACTTGGTGTTTGAAGGAAAATAAACTGCTGGTCCCAGAGTGAAGAGAAAGGCTGTGTGGGCTGCACACTGAGCCCACCTCCACCATACCGAGGGAGAGTGACCCTCCAGATCCTCCGGCATGTGGCTGCCGTTTACGTGGAGTGGGGGTACAGCAAGGCTGTGCCATTGGGAGTAATGTGAGGAACCATTAAAATTGTCTTTAAACCCCACATGATGCCTGTTGAGTTCAGGCTGTTCCACCTGTAGTCCTCAGGTGGGCTCGGGCTTCACAGCCTGGCCCTGCATGGTCCCAGTGGGGCTCAGTGGCCTGGGTGGTGGCTCCACTTCCAGGGGCAGGGCCTTGTCCTGGGTCTGTGTCAGCGGATGGACCATGGACATGTGGACGTTGAGGTTGTGGGCCTTCTCAAACCGCCGCCCACACTGGTCACAGGCAAAGTCCAGCTCCGTCTCTGCCTTGTGTTTGGTCATGTGGTACTTGAGGGATGCCCGCTGCCTGCACTGGAACCCACAGACTTCACACCTGGGGGACAGAGGTGGGTGAGGAAGGGCACAAGTGCCAGTCACAGCCTCATGGAGGCCCCCAGCCCACACTTACTGCAGAGGCTTGGCTCCCGAATGGCGCATTTGGTGGACAAGAAGGTGCTTCCGCTGCTTGAAGGTCTGTCCACACTCATCACAGATGTAGTTCCGCACCTCTGAAAGACCAGAGCTAGCATGAGCACAGGCACCTAGAAAGAGCAGTTCTAGTCCATGGCACAAAATGTGTGTGCATAAGCAAGGGGCCTTTGAGGACCTAACTATATATACAGACAAGACAACACTGACACAAAGCACTTCATTAGTGAAGGCTTCTAGATCGCTTGAAAACCTGTCACATGGCTTGGTCTTCCCCCTCAACTGTGTACATTTGAAGCCTTCTTTTAAATGATAATTAGAAGAAGCCAAATCAATAAGGTTTTGTAGATTACTGATTGTCACAGCTACTGCTGCTCTATAGCAAGCACCCCTGTATTAGGGAGCCATATGGTGGGGGTGGGCGAGACCACTGGTGGGAGTGTAAATGGTTATGCCTGCTTTGGAAATCAATTTCTCATGCTCTTGAATAAACATTGATGGTCACAGCCTGTGCAGTCTGCACCTCTCACCTCTGCACATCCCTGGAGCAGCCTCATAGGCCACTTACCCTCTGAGGTATACTCCACTCTCAGATTTTACTGTTTCATGTTTTTTAAAAACTGCTGATTGTGCCTATTAGTGACTGGACTGGGGTACACAGTTTGAAGAACCCAACCTAAGGAGATTATCACATCAGGATATGCATGCACGGACATGTAGAGCAAAAAATCCAGAAATAACCCAAATGTCCATTGATAGGAAAATAGCTTCACTGTGAAGCACAAGTAAGTGATCTAGCAATAAAAATGAGTAAATCCCAATGAAAAAGACTCCTGTGGTAAGCCATTTTTATAAAACTCAAAAATACGCAAAACTACATATTGTTAAGGGATCAATATATATACATATATAACATCTATTGAAAAGGAATATGGCTGAGGCATGCCACCCTGGTGATCAGGAGGCAGCAAGCACGTGTGTATACTGTTCATATTATTAAAACTGGAGGGAATCACAGTTGTACACACGTGACATGGGCCCCGAGTCAATGTGTGTGCAAGTGTGGATGGTGGTTTTGTATGATTGAGAGGCACTATCTTCTTTGTGCTTTCTTTTCAATTTCTACAATGCACATGAGTTACTTTTACAATCCAAAAAGGATACATTTTTTAAAAAATAAACTCGCAGAAGGGCACCAAGATGTCTTGACTGTCAGTTCTGACAAACTGCATAGGTCCCACAGGACAGACCGTGCTTGAGTCAGGACTTCTGTTCCCTGGGAGACTGGGTAGATTCACAGTCTCACAGACGGAGCCTTCACCTACCTGTGTGGCCTATACATGAGGCTGTATGAGACCAAGACACAGCTCTGGGCCTCCTGGAAGGGCACCCAACCTGTCAGCCAGCTGGGCAAGACCTCCCCTCCCCCAGTGCTGGGGGAGGGGGAGGAGTCTACATCAGCAAGCATGGAGAGGACATGTGTCACCCACACTCAGGCCGTCTCTCTGGAGGGCGGATACCTGTGTGGATTAGCTTCACGTGTCGCTGCAGGTAGCGGTCAATCATGAACACCTTGTTGCAGCCGGGGTGGGGGCAGGGCCTCTCTCGGACCTCTTCATGGTGCTCCTTAATGTGCTTCTGCAGGAGAGACCCAGTGAGAAGCCGTGAGCGCCTCACCTGATCAAGCAGCGCACTCCACCTCCCAAGGGCCCTGCTCAGAGCCCGGGGCAGGTGATGGCTGACCCTCCTGGAAGGAACACAGATACCACTATTCCTCGCTCTACACCTCTGGTTCCTTTAAAGCTGCACTCTGTGAGACCTCTGGACCTACAAGGTGCCCTCTAGAGTGAAGGGCTGGCTCCATGTCCACGCAGGTGGCACTGGCTGGGGCTGCTACAAATCATGAGCTGGGTTCCTGGGGGTCCTTGCATGCATATGCACCCAGCTCTGCAGACACCTGGTGCCTCCCCCAGGCTCACGCTGACACCCACCACGCCTCAGTCGGCACCCCCAAGCAGCAGCCCCTGGCCCGAGGCAGTGCCTGCTCCTCACCTTCATGCCATCGGCTCCTCGGTACACAGCCGTGCAGCCCTGGTGAGGACACTTGTAGATAGTGGGCAGCTCCTCCCTGCAATACACAGCACACGTGGAGGCACCGCCCCGGGGGGTAGGGCAGTCCCCACACTCCGGCGCCTCACCTCTCACAGCGGAGCTTTTTCTTCCATCCGGGCTTGGGCCCAGGTTTCTTTCGAATTTTTGGTTCTTCAGACTTCCTGGCTTCTTTGCTTTCACTTTTCTTACCAGAGACCCTGGAAAAAAAAATGTACACAGATTCAGTGATGTTTCTGATTTCCACACACAAACATTCCTCTTTTCGTGCATCTCTCTTCTCAAGCCCCCATGACTGAGCTGCTTCCACGCTAACTGGCTGGGCTTCGAATCCACCCTTAGCCACCAAAGGCAAAACAAAATTCTTGGTGGGAGGCTAAGCGGCCTGGACCAGCTGCCCGAGACGGAATGCAGCCCCAGAGGTGGGGGAGCAAAGCACCCTGGAGCATACCTGCTGTGGGGGTGGGTTTTCAGAACTGAAGCTTGACCCCTAGTTTAAGCATCAAAACCAAAAATTGGAGTCATCATGGAAAATGTGGGGTAGGAAGCTTTAGGGGTCAGTACCTACAACAAAACGAACTTATGCAAGTAAAAAACTCAAAATCAACGATCTCAGAACTCTAGAACCTGTTCGGGCACTCATAGTAACCAGGGCAGAGCTTGAGAGGGAAGGTGCTGTTCTCTGGTAAACTGCGTGCATGACCAGCTGCTGTCCCCACTCCTCAGTGGCTGTGGAGAGAGCGACCTGTGTTCCTGGTGTGGCTGGTGGGGCCAGGGTGGGCAGTGGGGGCCTCGTCCTCCAAAACTGTGGGGTTGTGCACTTCAGCCGGTCTGGCAGTTCCCTGAGGGAGCAGCACAGACACAGCAGCTTCCCCTGTGGTGTCTGTCAGGAGACTTAAAGAGACACACACACTTGTTTTTCCTAGTTGGATCCAGACTTTTAAGGAACTTTTGTCAGGAATACAGGGGAACTTCCTCAACATGATAAAGGCCGTATGTGAAACACCCACAGCAAACATCATACTCAATGGTGAAAGACTGAAAGCTTTTCCTCTAAGATCAAGAACAAGACAAGGATGGCTGCTTTTGCCGCTGTTATTCAGCACAGCATTGGAGGTCCTAGGCAGAGCAATTCAAGAAAAATAAAAAATGAGAAAGAAGAAAAATTATCTCTATTTGCAGATGACGTGGTCTTATACATAGAAGACCCTAAAGAATCCACACACACAAAAATAAGTGAATTCAGCAAAGTTGCAGGGTGTAAAGCCAATACAAAATAGTTATATTTCTATAACAATGAACAATCCAAAAAAGAAGAAAACATTTTCAATAGCATCAAAAAGAATAAAATACTTAAGAATAAATTTAACCAAGAAGGTGAGAGACTTGTACACTAAGAACTTCAAAACACTGCTGAGAGAAATTAAAGACACGACAGATGTAAAGACAGCCCTGCGCTTAAGATCAGAGCTAACACTGTTCAAGTGATCTACTCACTGTAGTCCCTATTGAAATCCCAATGGCTTTTTATTTTTGCAGAAATGAAAAAACCTATCCTAAATTTAACATAGAATTTCGAGAAATAGCCAGAACAAATTTGAAAAACAACAATGGGAGGACTCAAACTTTTGGTTTCCCAAACTTACTATAAAGCTGCACTAATCAGAACAGTGTTACTAGCCTCAGGACACACATACAGACCAATCAAAGAGAATGGAGACCACAAGTGAACCCTTACACATATGATCTACTGATTTTCATCAAGGTTGTCAAGACCATTCAATGGGGAAAGGACAGTGTCTTCAGCAAATGGTGCTGGGAAATTATCCACGTGCAAAAGAATGAAGTTGGACCCAACCTCACACCACACAAAAAACTAACTCAAATGGATCATGACGTAAATCTCAGAGCTAAAACTATAAAAGTTAGAAGAAAACACAGGGCAAATCTTCATTACCTTGGACTTGGCAATAGTTCCTTAAATACAACACCAAAAGCAAAGGCAATAAAAGTAAAAATAAATAAACTGGACTTCATCAAAATTTCAAACTTTCTGGGCCGGCCCGTGGCTCACTTGGGAGAGTGTGGTGCTGATAACACCAAGGCCCCGGGTTCGGATCCCACATAGGGATGGCCAGTTGGCTCACTGGCTGAGCGTGGTGCTGACAACACCAAGTCAACAAGATCCCCTTACCGGTCATCTTTAAAAAAAAAAATTTTTTTTTCAAACTTTCTGCATTAAAGGACACTGTAAAGATTGTGAAATGACAACCCAGAGGGTGGGAAAAATATTTGTAATAAGGGTTTAATATCTAAAATATATGAAGAACTCTTACAATTCAACAGCAAAAAACCAACCCAACTAAAAAATGGGCAAAGGACGTGAATAGACATTTCTCCAAAGAAGATACACAAATGGCCAGTAATCACATGAAGAGACATTTGTCATCACTAGTCACTGAGGAAATGCAAATCAAAATGGCGAGATAGCCACTCAGACCCATCAAGATGACTATTAACAAAAGGGTAGGAAACAGCAGTGCTGGCGAGGATATGGGGAAGCGGAAGCCCTGTGTACTGCTGGCGGGATGTAAAAGGTGCAGCTGCTGTGGAAACAGTGTGTCCGTTCTCAGAAAGTTAAAAATTGAATCATCATGATGCCACAGTTCTACTCCTAGGTATACACCCAAAGAATTAACAGCAGGGACTCAAACACGTACACAGTGTTCACAGCATTAATCACCATAGCTAAAAGGGAGAAACAACCCAAAACAACAAATGAATGGATCAACACAATGGAATATTATTCAGCCACAGAAAGGAATGAAGTTTTGCCACATGCTATAGCGTGGATGGACTTCAAAGACATTATGCAGTGAAAGAAGCTAGTCTCAAAAGGACAAATACTGTGAGACTCCACTTACATGAGGGACTTAGATTACTGGTTGCCAGGGCCTGGCGGGAGGAGAGGAAGGGGAAAGTCATTGCCTAATGGGTACAGAGTTTCTTTTTGGAATGATGGAAAGTCTGGAAATAGTGGTGAGGGAGGTGACGGTTGCCTAACACTGTGAATGTGCTTAATGCCACTGGATTGTACACTTAAAAATGGCTAAAAGCTTTTTAAAAACCAGATTTTAAATATTTGTCCTCCTCCTTAAAGAGTGTATTACAGGCTGCTGCTGCTTCTCCACGTCTGATGACTGTTCTTCCCGACTCGGCCAAGTGTCTTCCCCCTGCCTGCCCACACTGGCTAGGCTGGGCAACCTCTCCTGTCAGTGGCTGGCCATTCCCCTCCCACACCAGACCACTTGCTGCCTCAGTTCAAGAGGCTTCAGACAGCTGCACAGCCTCTGTGCCCCCGTGTTTCACAAGTGAGTCCTTGTAGATGCGCAGGCTGATTGAAATGCACGCCTCACTGATGCTTGGCTGTCCCTTCCCCTCGGTGGCTCAGGTCCCAGCTTCCACTTCTGGCTGGAACCATGGTGCCCTAATAACATGTCACTGAAGGCTCCTCTTGTCTGGCCCAGGCGAGCACACCTGCTAGGACTCTATCTGAAGTAAGAGTAGAGAATGTGAAGAGGCAAACTTGTGAGTCAGGCACATGGGGCTGCTCAGAGACCTTGCCCTCTGGGTGCCCAGTGGAGACGCGCATTGTAGCACCTGAGGAACCAAGTGGCCTCAAGCTTGGTGAGCATTACAGCAGAGAAGTGTAATTTCCACTAAAATAACCTTTTTGCTACAGGCCTCTTAAAATATATCTCGTGTGTCCCCATTCCCAACTGTGTGTTTGTCTGCATTCCTGGGGTCCTAGAGGAACCACTGAGTGATGCAGTACGAATGTGCTGTCCTTGTCTCAGCAGCAAGGGATCAGCAGAGCAGACCATCCCCTTCTAAGCCTGTCTGTCTGGAAAGAGGGTCCTCTCCCATCCTAACCCCTGGCCCCCAGTACTCCCTGCACCAATGGTCCCAGACCTGATGAGCAGCAAGCCATAAAGACAAACTCCAGGCTGTGTCCCGGGATTTGGACTCAGCCTGGGAGGTCACTGAACAGAAAGTGGGGGCTTCCGTATAGCAGCCCCAGGCTGCCCCCCCCCCCCAGCCATGGATCCTCTGACACTCCCTTGTGGCCCCTGGCCAATGTTCCGTCCATTCTGAGGCTTGCTTGAGCACTCTGGCTGGGTCCTGCATTCTGATTTAGATCCCTCCCCCACGCCTCCTACTCTCCCATTTCTCTTTCCATAACCAATGTCAGAACTTAAGTGAAAAAAGGAAGTCAAGTTTACATCTCAGTCTTTCTTGGCTGACAGTGTGGTACTTAGAACTGCTTACTCTTTGGATTTTCATTCTAGATTGTGAAATGCTGAGGACACTGACCAAGTCAATCACCAGCTAACTGTAGGGTGCTGTAGGTATTCCTGGCACAGGGCTGAGAGGAAAGTGGCATGAGTAAAAACTAGCCCTCTTTGCCAGGACCCTGTGTTCTAACTGGATAGAGAAAACATAAATCCTTAAAAAGGGAAGCTCAAAACAAGGTCCTAGAAGCAATTCAGCAATGAAGTGGGTGACAGCTACCTGGCTATAGAAATCAGCACAAGGGCCGGCCCGTAGCTCACTTGGGAGAGTGTGGTGCTGATAACACCAAGGCCACGGGTTCAGATCCCTACATAGGGATGGCCGGTTAGCTCACTTGGGAGAGTGTGGTGCTGATAACACCAAGGCCACGGGTTCAGATCCCTACATAGGGATGGCCGGTTAGCTCACTTGGGAGAGTGTGGTGCTGATAACACCAAGGCCACGGGTTCAGATCCCTACATAGGGATGGCCGGTTAGCTCACTTGGGAGAGTGTGGTGCTGATAACACCAAGGCCACGGGTTCAGATCCCTACATAGGGATGGCCGGTTAGCTCACTTGGGAGAGTGTGGTGCTGACAACACCAAGTCAAGGGTAGGGATCCCCTTACCAGTCATCTTTTTGAAAAAAAAAAAGAAAGCAGCGCAGAGTAAGGGTGGAGAGCAACCACAGGGCTGGGTCCTTGGGCCCCCGAGGATGCATGACCCAGCAAGCAGACAGGACAGTGGGAGGGGGGTGGGCTGGGAATGGGACTGGCAGAGAGGCCACAAAGGAACTCCCTGGAATGAGGGTGGGTCTTGTCAACAGGGCTCCTTGCCATCACACCACCTGCTACACCCATGATGTCTAAGACAATCCTCACATGGCCTGTTGGCCAGCGTGTGGTCTGAGACACTCTGAGACCAGGTCCTAGCCCCCAACCACCAGGAAGGGGGGCGATGTCACTGGACTTGGGAGATCAGGACAAAAGAGAAGCAGAGAGTATGAGCTGAGTGTGGACAGACCAGGACGTGTGAGCCTCCATCCCTGTCCCCACTCTCCCAGGTGCTTGCAGCAGGGCTGTCCCCTTACTTCTTTTCTGGGTAAGGCTCAAAGGACTCATCCGAGGATTGGGTACTTTGCTTCTTGTCATTGTCGTCTTCGCTCAGAAAGTCTCTAGGAAAGAAGAGAGGACCTTTAGCAAAGCCCTGGGCCCGGGTGGGTAACAGATTCAACAAGACTTCCTGTCTAAAGACATCATACAGACCCCTATATCCCATGTTTTCGTTTTCCTGAAAATGTCTTAAAAAATCTAGAATTCCCCAATTTCCAATCCCATTTCTTAAGAGAAAGGGCAAGTCAGGCCACTTAATTCTAACAAGCTGGCAATCCCCCCAGAGGCCAGCTCTCTCAGTCCCAGGACCCCAAACTCGGAAAGATGAGGACTTGCAGGAGGTGGGCTTGGTGAGTAGACTGTGCGGAAGTTACTGCCTCACCCCATGACTCTGAGCACCTGTGCAGCTGACGAGTCCGTTGTCAGCCATTCCAAAGTTCACACAGACAAGAACAAGACCTGTGACCTTCACCCTGAAGCATGAGTCGCTATTTAGTCTGTCAGGCAGCAGAGCCAGGATAGCAAGCCCAGGGTGTCCCCCACAGGCCACTGCCCACCTGGATGAAGGGCCCGAGGTTGGCTGGCAGCCAACAGGATTGGTGGCCTTCCAGCACCTTTAGTACCTCACCACGGGGCACCCCACTGGGAATGCACCAAAAATTGGGCTGTCCTTGTTTGCACCTGGGCTCATCGGCAATCCTGCCAAGGCTTATGGGGCAGGGCGTGCAGCGGCCACCCTGAGTGGCTCTCAGCACAGTGGCAAGGGCAGCCCAAGGAGCTAAAACCCTGATATTGTCCCTTCCAAAGAGGTTTGTCCTCCCCAACACCCACACAGGGCCTCTGCTTCACGTTATAACATTGTCCTAATACAGGACTAGAGCCTGGCTTCCTCTGTCCTAGTAACATCTGGGGTTGGCAGAAAACTCAGGCCTTTGAGGAGGAAGCAGCAACAGCAAAGGACCCATGCCCAGGACAGTCCTAACAAAGCCACGTCATCAGGTCTGGGGTGGCCTCTGTGACCCAGGAATCTCCCAATCATGAAAAGAGGCCTCAGAAGCTCTCCTGGCCACGGCCCTCCTCCCAACCTCGAGAGGGAGAGCGTCCTAACCAGGGCATGGGCAGCAAGCCCCAGGAGAGCTGAGTTTGGTTTTTGAAGGAGAAATTTTAGGCTATTTAAACCCACTCTTCTCTCACCCCTCAGAAAGGTCACTGAACTCGTCTTTTACCCGATCATCCGAGGCTGAAGACGGAACCTGCTTCTCAGCCAATTGCCCTGAGAAACAAAGAACAAGGCTCCTGTTACTGACACAGAGTGCAGAAAATGCTTTTCTGATGAGAGCTTTCCTTGCTGGGTGGACCCTGGGGTTCTCTAGCCTCAAGTTATACCCCTCTCCCAGCCCCATCCCCAGCAAGGGTCCTGCACAGCCTCTAACTCTGCTGAGTCACCCCACACTGAGTAAAGGCACAGTCAGCACCAAGCATCAGAAACCCAGGGGAACTGTCATATCAGCAAGCCCAATCCCTCCCACAGACTCAGATCCAGGCACTCTAGGGTGGGGACGGCCTGCACTTTGTGGACGTTTGAGACATTTAAAAAATTGTTGCTATCAAAGCACTGCATACACACAGTTTAGAAAGCCAAGAGTTCTAAGATGCCTGCGACTCTCACAATTCCATTCCTCACCTGAGGCCCCAACCTGGACCTGTGTCGCCTCATTTGTGTATCTCTGTTTTAGCTGAACCGTCTGGGTGCCTGCATTTTTTTAAAGCTCCACTGAGGACTCCCATGTGGGAGCCAGCCAAGTGCCCACATGCAGACAGGTCCACATGCCCACGAACAGAGAGAGAGGCAGGCGGGAAGCTGGCCCCTGGGCCTCCTAAAACAATGTCCCCGGGCAGCTGCACCCAACCCACAGCACTGTGGGTTGTGGCCCCAAACAAGGGCCCTGTGTTCCCCTCAGCCTGTCAGCAGAAGAGAGCAGTCCACACTGGCCCACACTAGGGCATCACCAGGCGACTGGCTGGGTCTGGGGACTGACCTGCAGCTCACCCAAAGCAGCAGCCTCAGAGGCAACACAGATTTCTCCCTCATATCCCATGGACAAGGGCCCCATTCTTCTCTCTCCCCGAGTCCCCTTGGTCCACAGAACAACCAGTGCCCTCTGCCCTGAGCACAGGCTTAGAAGAACACTGGACGCCAGACTAGCATGTCTTTACAGAAACTGCTGAAGCAGGTCCTGCTTGCAAATAAACAAGACATCGGGATGGGTAGGCAGCCCCTCCCTCCTCTTTTAGATGTTGTGAGCAGCCCCAGGCTCCTGTGAGGAAGCATGAGGCTGGCTCCTCTGTCATTTCCACCAGCTCCTTCTGTGCACCACACCTGACATTCACTTCCTGCTGAAGACCCCGCCTGGCTCAGGCATACAGAATCCTGGTCTAGCACAGGCCAGAGGTGCCTCCTACCTGGGGCCCCACTGGGGGGTGGGCTTGACTGAGCTGGTGGCCCTGGCCCAGGCCCCAGAAGGCTGCCATCTGAAGGAGACCGAGCCGAATCCATGCTGGGCAGCATTTTGGTCTCAGCCCCAACTGTGGTCCCTCTGCTCTGTGAGATCTGAGGGGCAGCGCCAGTGGAGGTGGAGTCCCGGTTCTGGGTGAGCTGTGGCACCACGTCCTTGTCCCACGCCCACTTGACTGCCAACGCGCTGTCTAGCAAGAGGGCCCTGCAGCTGGAGTCAGTGTCCATGGTATAGTCATGGCCCTGGTCGCAGCCCCACACAGCCTGGATGACGCCACAGTACTCGGAGGACAATGTCCTCTGAAGGCTGGGCAGGGCGCCACAGCTGCCTGCGTGTCCATGCACCCAGCCCACCAAGCTGTGCAGGCACTGGGAGCTTGAAGTGATCAGATCCACTGAGGAGAGTCAACAGAGACGTCAGCCCACAGCTGGTCAGCACCCGGCTCACCCTCGAGAGCCCACCCTCAGACCAAGGGCAGACTTACCCAGACAGGCTCCCTCCTCCACCCCTGCTGGGGGCTGTGCACTGACCCTGCAAAGGATTAATGTGGCCATAACCAGGAAGAGCAGCCCGGGGCACACCATGCTCTTTGTACAGGAGCCTCTCAAGATCAAAAACCTCCCCAACAGTCCCTGCCAGGAACCCTCTCCCGGGAACCCTCTCCCCTTTCCTACCAAGGGCTGTCCCTCACCCTCAGAGACCTGCGTACATTTCTCCTCTCCCAGAACCTCCCTCTTCACCTGCCCTACACACCAGTCCCATGAGTGCTACAGTTCATCTACTGAGCTGGACAAAGCCCATCCACCCCACCGCAGAGCCTCCCACCAAAGGACTCCCTGTCCCTCAAACTGCACCCAGCATATGGGATGCTGAGCCCTAAACGTCCCCTGAACGAACAAAGAAGAACCTACTTTGCACAAGGCTTCCGATGGCCCATCGGGGAGATGTTGACTCTCTGCAGGAAGGATTTGAGGAGGCTGTGGCACTGGTAGAACTGGGCGTGGCAGTTCTTGCAGACAAACTGAGACAAAGCTGGGTGCTGATGCACAGCCACCCCCAGCAGGTTCTGGAAGTCCCTGATGAAGACTCGCTCCCCTGGGGACAGTCTCTCTGAGCTCTCCCCGGGGGCCCTGTCAGAGATGCTGCGGAGACTCCTTGAGGAAAACTTCCCGTGGCAGAGGCGACAGTACCCCATGGCAAGCGCCCGGCCTGCTCCTGGGCAAAGCAACAGGAGACATTAACAGTCGGCAAGCAAGGCTGGCTCGTGGGCACTGGGCAGCCACTACACAAGTTCTGAGGGGGCAATGCCACAGCCCAAAGGCCACACTCCACAGCCAGCCTCCCAGCGCTGGAGGTGGAGAAGCTCCCTCCAAGGGGCTCCCCAGACATGTCCGAGGCAGGGCTCAAGTGCATGGCTCCCAGCTAACATTCAGCCTTTGGGGGGTGTGGCTAGTGAAGGCCACTGGACCAAGAAATCTTCCAGAAAATTCTAACCTGTTTTGTTTTCTGGTTTTGGTGGCTATCTGGTACACCAGAGAATCCTAAATGCCTCCACAGCTACGGAACTTCACAGATGGAACTAGGAACTTCATCCCCTCACACCATCCTCTGACACCAGAAGTGAAGGCGCTGTATCCACTTTGTGCCTTCAAGGGAACGACCTGGGTTTCCTGCCTGCCGAGTGCGGGTGAAGCCACTCCTCTCCTGCCCCCAGGAGGGCTGACCGAGCCCCGTGGAGCAAGCACAAGACGGCGTTCTCAGATGGGGGCGTTCTCAGATGGGGGCGTTCTCAGATGGGGGCGTTCTCAGATGGGGGCGTTCTCAGATGGGCGAAGAGCGTGCACAGACGCAAAGGGTATGCTGTCACCCTCACCAGCACCGCTGACTCGAGAACTGCCTGCCAGGCGGGGATGGAGCTGTGCACTGGCCTGGCTCATTCTCCCAACACTCTCTGGGTCTGTTCTAACCAACCAGTCGACTGAAGTTCAGAGAGGGTTAGCAACTGTCTCAAAGGCACAGAGCACAAGGCAGACCAGGACCGCGCCCGGCCCTGTCTGACTCCAAGACTCGAGCCCTGAGCAGGAAGGGCCGGCTTTCTTGATCAAAGCCACCAGCGCAGATGCTGGACAGCCGCTTAACCTCTCTCAAGCCGGGAGACACGATCACCGGGGGACCGTCGTCACGGGGGGCCGGGGCCATCAGAGGCAATTGGCCACCAGGGGGGTACGTGGTCGCGGGGGGATGCGGTCACCGGGGGACCGGGTCACGGGAGGCAGTGGTCATCGGGGCGGCGGCTCCGCCCGCCCGCAGCCTCGGCCGCGGCCCCCGGACCGACTGGACCCACCTGCCTCGTAGGCGCCGTCCTCACCCGCGTCCCCGCAGGCCCGCGCCG